TCGAACAACCTCTTCAGATGTTATCCGTTGTGCCTGATAGCTGGCCTGGTCAATAAAGTAAGATTTATCTAACAGACGTGTCTTTGTGCAATCAATGTGAGTCATGAGCATTAAATGCAAACCATGCTGAAACGACATTCTCTTTTAAAGCATTAAATGCAGATAAGGGCGCATTCAATGCGGTGAAGATAACCAAGCTGGCGTTTGGTGTCTCCAACGGACGGAAACATCGATTGATCTTCACGAAGCGTGAAGGTTACTCTTCACGAGGATTGGGGACACGTGGTCGCATCCAATGGCTAAGAACGCATCCCGCCCAAACGTCGCTTGCAAAGGAAACCAAACGTCGCATTTTTCCCTATAAAATCCAAACCCCACTTCATGATTTTCACATAACTCAAATCTTTAGAGAGAAAAAACAGAGTTTTTTGCACTCAAAAAACTAGTTCATCCTTTTTCCAGTTGATGCGCACTCGCCGCTACGACAGAACGTTCATCCACAGCAACCAAGAGGTAAGGAATACTCTTCCCTTTCTTCATTTCATTCTTGTTAGAAACTCGGTTTTTTCACAGCAATGGTGAGTTTGAACACCTAGTAAACTTTACATGATGCACATTCTTGGGTAGTGTTAAAAAATGAACACTCTTAATAATAAAAAACCTAGGGCATAGATCCTTAGGAACTCGTTCTTAGGGATGTTTAGGGTTTTTATGGGCTAAGGAAGGAAAATTAAGGTTTTTCTTACTCTTTTGAGTCGTCGTACGAAACACTGCGTACGGAGACTGAGTCACCTCTTCGTGTCGCACCTTTTCAGACTTTTGGAGCAATGGATGCTTCAGAGATGAGAGCAGCTATTGGAACTAGCTCGCAGCCCCCAAGCACCTTGGCAGGTCCCACACAAGCGGTGCTATCAGCAACCATTGCGGATGAGATTCAAAAGGCGGTAGACCAGTTTACGATTAACGTAAACATCTACCAGCATAGGTCGCACACCGCTCAGGACCCTCCAGAGGAAATGGTTGTGATCTCAAAGGTAATCTTCAAATGTGGGGTGACAATACCTTTTCACCCCTTCATCAGATCGATCCTCGACCACTTCAAGGTCGCGTCATTCCAACTGATGCCCAATGCATATATGATAGCGATTGCTATGTATATCGCATGCCGCGAACACGAACTCGGCGAGTTAACAACATTGGAACTCGCATGCGCTTACTACTTAAAGAAAAGCAAGGACAAAGATTCCTTCTATCTCTCGAAGCGATCTATGATCGAGGAAGGAATATTTGGTTACCCCAGCAATGTTGGGGCTTATGACATCAAATATTTCTTCTTCGAGTATGATGGTGTCTGTAAATTTAGGGAGTCGAGTAGGTTTTTCCCTTTGGTTTTCTAAACTGACTATCCTTTCCTTTAACTCTCTTTTGGTAGCTAAGACTAATGAAATTATTTTTTTTCGTACAAAACAAGACGACTAGGTTGTCGGCTCTAGCAGATTTCAGCCGCATTGAGGCGTTTTGTCGTTTACCCGATTAGAGTCACGACGCAAAACTACTCGTGACCACTGCCAACCTACGAAAGTACGGATTCTTCAGCCCCGAGGCATCTTTGGAAGCTCCAGCCCGGGGTATCTTTGGAAGCTCCAACCCGTAAGTATCTTCATATCCAAAAGAGCTTTTAGCCTTGTACCAAAGATAACTTGTTTGCTAACACATTTTCATGGCCTGCAGTGACCATGCCACCAAGGGTTCCGAAGCCACCTCCAAAGGCTACGGGGTTTGTATTCCCTCGGGTCAACCCAACTGAGCCAACCGAAGTAACCCTCAGTGCCATCCCCATAAGAGGGATGCAGATCAGTGTCGAAAGGCGACCACCCAAAGAGCAATGCGAAGAAGCTCCTTAACCCGTGGCTACTCGTGCCATGAAGCAGAAAACCATGGGCCAGAAGACTAAGAAAAGGAAACAACTAGCCGTCAATGAGGAAACTGAGTCAGAGTCAAAGGGCTTCGGGGTGCTACCAGAAAGAACTCAGCCTTACCCTGTCACTCGCTCAGGAGTGCCCCTGATGGGCCCCCTTGGCACCTCGACGGTCCCCGGGAGCTTGCGCAAGGGAGTGGAAGCGACCACGGCTATGCAGAAAAGAGCGGGTAAGCAACGGGTCGAGGATGTGCCTGCCCCCTCGAGGCCAGACCCGTCCATGCTGGATTTCTTAGGGCAACTACCGGAGCACTTGTAATCGGTAATGTACACCCTACTGGAATGCCAACTTGCCTCGACCTTTGAGGAGTTCTGGTAGGATCTTATTGTTATTATGTAATACCGTTGGTGCTCGATTTTGACACCAACTATTAACGCATGCAAAGTGCTAAGTAGACTTAGAAATTACACGTGAACTAGAAAATGAAATAAATAAAAGGGAGACGATTTTTAAAGTGATTCGGATGCTCAAAGCGAATCCTACGTCCAATGTCTTTTTATTTATGAAAGATTACAATCAGGTCGCATGTAGGAATTAGAGAGAACAGAAATACAGAGAGGGAGAGAGAGAGAGTTTATATTATTAGAATTAGAATCCCGAAAAATGAGAGGGGAGCTCTCTATGTATAGTAAGAAGTTTCTAGGTAATGATTACGGGTCTGCCAGCGGGCAGGTGCCGTATAGTTCTTACCCTGTTTCCCATTGGCCAATTGCACGAAAGATATCCTTAAATTGCATAGGACTTGGCCAGGTGGGTGACTCTCAGCCACTCACTTGTCAGACCTTTACCTGACAAGTTGATGACAACCTTACTCCTTTTATCCTTGGACTATGTAGCAACGCCTAGATAGCAAGATAGCATAATATCTTCCTAAACTCTGATTAGTCCTCGCTGATATAAGCCTATATCAGCCTATATCAACCCTGATTTTATATGCATAACAACTACAATTATAATCTCCAAGGTACACGAAACATCACAACTCCCAACTGCAAGTAATTGGACATAAAATAAAAATCCTGAAAGAAGATTGACTGATTCTTATGCGTTTATATGTTTTCCAGTTTCCCAGTCAATCATAGGAGACAGCATTCAGGCAGCTTAATTAATGCACCAATGGACAGTGCAGATTATTGTCCACAATAGTGTTAGTGCCCATACACAATTTCAAAGCTAAAATTTGATAGACATTTATCGTTGTTTGTCAATAGTAAAGAAAATTCCTACTTCTGTCATATATAAACAGAATCCTCTATAAATCTCATCTTAAGACATAAGGTACCATAAAGTAAATCAAACTCCAATAAGAATGAAATAAAAGGAAAAGATCTGCTTACATAAAGCATATTCACTATAGTTAAAATTCATATAATATTTGGCAAGTTCAGTTCAATCCAACGATTCTCTCGTATCAATAATAGAATAAGGCTTTGAATTTGCTTTGAGTTGTTGTTATAGATTCTTTTTAAGTAATTTCATTGAGAAAGTGTTGTTTAGCCAAGATTGGGTGGGCAATCTAATCGACAACCACAATACATAAATAGAAGCTTTTATGTTTTATCTACTTTTTCTCAAGCCATTTATGATTTAAGATATATTATATAAGATTTTCGGCGTGGGATAGGGATACACAATTAATTTCTGCTTCATTATCACCAGTAATTAGATGAGACAATTTCCTAAATCAAATCAGACTGGGCAACGTGCCCTTCCCCACATATTAATTGTAGCTCAGCATGTTCGTCTTCCCTCTCAATATAATATTAGTCAGCTCGTTTTATCATGTCCACATATATTTACCTAGAGAGATAATTAAAAAGGACGATAAAAAATCGATAATACTATTTGTATAAATTCTTATATAAAAAAAGTTTATATATTTGTATAAACTGATATAATATATCATAAAATATATTATATAATATTAAAATTTACGTTACTTAATATCATATTAATATTATCTAACCCTTTAATCACGTAATACTTATATGATACAACTTACAAATAACTCTATCCTAAAAAGTCACATAAAATACAAAAACTATTGGATTGGAACCGTATACCGTACGCCTAAATCATGTATTTTAGCGTTGGTCCCGCCACTTGAGCTACTCAAGAGTCGGTGATGCCTGATACCTTTACACAAGAATTCGGTTGAACTGGCTTTGATGATGTAAGGAATGACACCAAAAATTCCAAAGATATTAATAACTGCATTGAATTAAAATATATTTCACCAAGCTGTTGCATGCAAGAATCAACGAGGATAATGGAATGACTTGGATAGTGAAATTTTAATACTCGTTTCAACATCACTTCGTCATCTATGGCTGGAAAGAGAATGAGTTTTATTATTAGTCGATTCTAATAAAGGCTAAAGTAGTTGGCACGATGAGATACAGCTAACTTAATAATGGAATGAACAGAATAGAATTAATAAGCTAATCATATTAATTTATTAAGGGGTAATTAATAGAGAAAATATCTAATAGGATTTGATTAGAAGTTGAATATATATGTCGGTAGACAAGTTAATGTTATTAAACCACAATTGATGGCCTGGTAAAAGAACAGAATGAGGCATTATAAGTTTTTGAGTTCTGAGTCCCTCCGAGTATTAATAGGAGTGGTCATAGGAATTTTTACCTGATCAGTAATTACATAGTTTCAAAAGATTAATTGAGATACACACAAACTAATCCGGACGACGAAAAAAAAAAAGAAAAAAAAAAGTTAACGTTATTAATAAAATCAACATAGCGAGGCTTTAGGATAGAGGTTTATCAACATATATTGGCAAAGCTGCGATATTGGTACAGAGATGGTTGAACTTGAATCTCTGTTAATAATCTAAGAGGCTTCGTTTATCAAAATGATCTGCAGGAGTTTGTCTCTAATATTTTCAATAATCAAGCTTTAATGGCCAGCTAGATTGAGTACTTCTGAATTGTACACTCTCGACTCTCCACCAAGGAGGATCTCAGACTAGATGAAACGTATGGAAGGTCTAGCTAGCTTCAAGTTAAGTTACTGTGATGTGGATTGCTTTAAATGTTTATGTAACCTTCTCCATATGTTGTTGGCTTTAAATGAAATGAAAAGGAGCAGAAATTTGCAGCATATACAGTATATATATGTGCATTGAAATCCATGCAAGGCACACAATTATTTTCTTGGTCTTTCGCTCAATAAAATCGTGTAGCAATAACCACTTTGAAAACCCACAATATTTCTGTCTCTGTCTATGGAATTATCTTCTTCTTCCTCCGTTTTTTGGTTTTCTCTTTGTGTTTTAGTTATTTTTTGCTGCAGAGGAGGAGCAATTGAACTGCCAGGCAATGTAACAGTTAGAGCCCTTTTCATGTTTGGAGATTCAATCGTTGATACAGGCAACAACAACAATCTAACAACGCTGGCTAAGTGTAATTTCCCTCCTTATGGGAGGGACTTCAACGGAGGACAGCCAACCGGAAGATTTTCAAACGGCAAGGTCCCCGCTGACTTCATAGGTTCTGTTTCTCTCTCTATCTCTATCTCTCATTTCTTATCCCTAATATGTAGTTGAATGTGTTTATCTCGGCCCTTTTTTTGGGGGGTGGGGGGGCCATTCGACCTCAATTGGAGGGCATCCATCCATAAATTCATTAATCAAATGGTCTATACCCAAGATCAGAGCTTCTTGGCACAATGGGAGAGGGGAGTCCGTCTACTGTCCAGCCAATGAAAGAAATTTCTTTATAAATATCTATATTTCTGGGGACCTCATTTAGTGATTAGGTTCAATGGTGTGACACATAATGCATCTTGAGGCATAGATCAAACACATCCACAAAAGATTAAGCCAATCAAAAGTGATAGTTCAATTTATTCACACAAATCACAATCCACTAATCCAGTGACTGAAACTTTCCGGCCAGAAAGAGGAGGGAACAAAGATCAATGGTAGGTTTAGGAGCATGTGAATATCTGGTACAGACTAGCAACATCTCATTTATTTAATGCCAACGCCTTTCTTTTTAAATGCATTCATTGCACTTTTATCTTTCATGGAGATAATTTAGCATATGAGGTCCCAACATTTTTATTTTCCTTCTCTTTATAACTAGTGATGTTTCAACATCTGGCTCCCAAAAATTAATTAGGAGTGTATAACTCTGGAATATACTAATTTCAGAACCCATCACGTCTTTGATGGATGAATGATCCAATGGGTTTTTAATTTAGGGCCCAATAAATTTTGTTCTAACTTCTAAGTCTATATTTTTTTTTTTTGATAGTGGAAGAATTGGGAATAAAAGAGCTTTTGCCAGCATATTTGGACCCAAATCTGCAGCCTGAAGATCTTCCCACAGGTGTTAACTTCGCTTCAGGTGGTGCAGGATATGATCCCTTAACGGCAAAAGTGGAGGTAAATACTTCAGTCTATTCACTTTCAAAAGATAAAGATTATTTATTTCAATCTAACTTTATAATTCAATTTTTTTTTTTTCCTAACAAAAAAGACAGCGATACCATTATCCGATCAGTTAAAATTGTTCAAAGAATATACACAGAAGTTGAAGAACATGGTTGGAGAAGAAGAAACAAACACAATCTTCACAAATAGTTTATTTATTGTGGTAGTAGGCAGCAATGACATCGCAAACGTCTATTATAATGCTCACATCAGGCAATTGCAGCTCAGCATCGGTGCTTATACTGACTTTATGGCGAGCTCGGCTTCCAGCTTCTTAAAGGTAATTTTTATTGATTAGTCCTTGTTCAGATTCTTATGACCTTGGTATTGATAGCCTTCTGGTGAGTGGGGATCCTACAGGGTTTTGAAGTTTATAGGGTAGATGGGTTGAAAAATGAAATTGAAAAGATGAATAAATTCATTCATAAACATTAACTTTCTGTGTCTCTTTAAAAATTCTGAAGGAGTTATATCAACTAGGAGCACGACGAATCGGGGCGTTTGGTGTACCGCCGCTTGGATGTTTGCCATCATCAAGAACTGTTGCTGGAAGAGGAAAAAGGGATGAATGTATAAAGGAATACAACCAAGCATCAGAGTTGTTCAATACTAAATTTTCTGTAGCGATTGATTCCCTTAGTAGAAACTTGCCAGATGCCAAAGTGGTTTACATTGATATCTACAACCCTCTGTTTGAGCTCATACAAAACCCCAGAAAATATGGTAAATCATCTTATTTTACCCCTTTTTTAATCCACACATGAGCTGGAGACTTTTGTCTTATTTCCCCTTGATTGTTTTGTTCAGGATTTGAATTTGTGGATAAAGGGTGCTGCGGCTCAGGAACTTTAGAAGCAGCATTTACGTGTAATTCATTGACTCCAACATGTCCTGACGCGTCTATTTATATTTTCTGGGATAGTTATCATCCTGCAGAAAGAACATATAAGATGCTCGTCTCTGAAATTCTGCAAAAATATATCTCGAGTTTCTTGTGATCAAGAGATTCACCTGCTAGCTTCTGTTCTCTTATACTAAGTCTCTTTCCTATTCTCAACAACTCACATTTTCCAAAATACATCTTATTCTCTGCAAAGAATGCATACGTATTAAATTTTAAGCAATTGAGTTTGTAATCTTAAGTTTTATATCAATGAAATTATGATCATCTTGAAAGTTCTGCACCATATATATTGGAAGATGTGCTATGTTAAACATTTCCTCTTAAATTTTAATAAAATGAAGTATTTGGAAAAGTCATGTACTCAAGATTTTATCTGTAAATTTCATGATTATGTACCAGAGTAAGTGACTCCAACTTTGATTACTGAATACTTAGCTTCAATTGATGATTAGCAGCTTTGAGGTATTGTCATTTTGGACTGCAAACGTTTGCTGCTGCTTGTTTCATCTTAGTATGGTATGGGATGTTAATGACAGCTAAAACAACAATCTAAGTCACCCTAAGATGTAATTTTTCACAATTTTATTTACTTGGAATCAATCACACATGAAAATAACAATGACTGTTTGGCTGTTTTAAATAATACCTTCTCAATTTGATATAGCTGAAGGTGAGGGCAGAATCAAGGAGTATATCTTTACCATTTTTTAACTTTAAAGATGATGTTAACTGCAATTAATAAAGATGAAGAATTAGCCCTTTTAACTCGCAGTTTGTGAAATAAAATTCTGAAAGAACTCTCCACCCTATACCAAACAATAGATATTCTAAAATATTACTGTTCAAATCTGCCGACTGTGTTAAAGTCATATTCATTTAATTTTGTACGTTACATCATATAATTTGCACCGACTTGGGCGCGAAAAATCGCTGTTATCTGTACACTAAAAGATGCGTGTTGCAGTAGCGTCGGAAGAGAGTCTGCAGAGAATTTAATGTTAGAATTTTTCCAATTAATTAAAATTTATTGTCCTAAAACTACTACTTAGTCGTTCACTTTTATATATATATAATTTAAATATTTCTCAAAAACCATCGTTATGAGAATTATAGTACATTGTAAGAGTTTGTAACCTTTTAAGAACACAACAATAATAAATTGTTATGGTTGGAGGTTATTGATTAAATTATTTCGTTTCTGCAAATCTCCATGAATATATGAATAATGATATAAATATATACATGTTGATTCTAAGCGATTTACATTACTGATTTTACATGTGGTATCAGAGCCTTTTTTTTAATTTCTGCCTGACATGTAATTGTTTGTTGCAAATTTAGAGTATATTGTATAAAATTGGGACTTTTTAATATTAAAACTGTAACTTTAATAGGACATAACTTCTTGAATAAATCATATCTATTTTCGATTTTTGTGTCATTGGCATCCTTGTTGAAAGAGCTTTCCAACGATATATTATTTGTAAAAAACGGAGTTATGGTTGCAAAGTTATGCTGGTTTAAAGTTTCGGTTAAAATTATCATTTAAGTATTTTCGACAACCATTTACGGCGCCGATTTGGGACGAAAATGTCATTTGGGATGTCACCGACATAGGTCGTACGTCCACGTTCAAGTTTCCCCTCTAAAACGCTGGAAAAATGGTAGGAATTGGGCTATTAAAAACTGTAGAAAATGGGTTAAAAAATTGTATAAATTGGGTCAACGGATCAAATCTATCTAGTCAAGGATAAAACAGGTCAAACTGAACCGATCAAAGTCAAAGGTCAAACCGAGTCATTTCGACTCGATCAAACTCACCCACAACCCAATAAGTCGGGTCAATGAACTAGTCAACGGGGACAAACCGGGTCAGTGAACCAGGTAAAGGTCAACTCGACCTAGTCAAACAGACCCGTGTTGACTTTTGGCGCATGTGTGCGTGTGAAGATGTGCGTGGGGAAGTGTGCTTTGGCGCATGTAGTGCATGGGAGGGTCGTGTCGGCGCGTGACGGCATGTGTAGGAGTGTGTTGTTTTCTGGAGGCGTATGCCGGTGCATGGAGACACGTGGCTGCACGTGGTTGAGTCACAGTGGCGAGTGGGAGTCGGTGACAACGCGTGTGATGGTTTTTTATGATATGTATTAGTCTATTATGCATAAATAATGTGATATTCTTATTTTGATTTATGTTATATTGTGTTATATGCAATAATTCATGTTATAACTATATGATGTTTTATGATCGTATATATTTGATTAATTTAGAGTGGTCATAGCATCTAAGAGCATCTCCAAAAGACTTTTTATATGACTCAAACTCTTTATTATAAAGAGTTTATCCATAAAAACAAAAGTCTAATAGACTCTTTATTCTTTAAATATAAATTAAAGAGTGAATTTGACTCTTTACATTTAGAGAGTCAAATTTCACTCTCTATCATAATTTTAAATAATAAATTACAAGTTTTTATACATTTTATTTATGATTTATCTCTCCTATTAAGTTTTTGTTAGGGCCAAAAATCGTCCTTGGCCCAAATAGGAAAACAGGACCATCTGTGAAGAAGAGACCAGACCCAAATCCCAAAGAGACTCAGGCCAGATTAGTCTCATTCGATATGAGATACGGCCTGCCCAAACCGTCTGGGCATGAGCTTCCCGGTTCCATTTCACTTCCTAGGCCTATAGGCGAGTTCCAAGCCCACGGCCCACTGATCACATTCCTGTTCCTGATCAATCTCTTACTCTAAGTCATTTTCTTGTTCAGAACACTTTCCTATTCGAAGTTACTTTCCTGATCAGAATCACCTTCCTATTCGGACACTGGTAAGACAGCATACCGCGGCCCTAATTCTTCTAGGGTTTGCATCAGAGTCACATTAGGACCCCTACTCCCACCAGGATTGGGAGACCAGACAGTCACTATATAAACAGAGGCCAGCCCTCTCACGAATGAGAGATTACACTACACCTTCACACCTGAAGCTCCTACTTGAGAGCTTCACATCATTGTCGTAGTCACAGTCTCTGACTAGACTTCCGGTAACCTCTCTACTCCCTAGCCCTCACTATATTAGCCTCTTTCAGCCTTGCTGACTTGAGAGTCGGAGTGCCTACGGCAAACACCACCCCGGTGTTTCCCGTTCGCTTCACGCGTTTGTTTATTTACGTGTGCAAGTGCAGCGGATCGCTAGTGGCCTCAACCTCACGGGATCAGACCCCCCTTCCGTACAGGTAGATTTTTACATCTACGGTTTTCTTCTTGAAAAAACATATTCTTTCTCCTAAAATTTAAAGAGTCTATTGGATTTAAATAAAAAATTTGTTATTTATATATAAAAATCAATGAAAATGCTCTTTATTTATATGAAAGACACTCTTTAAAATAAAGAGCACCATTGGGGATGCTCTAAGTTATGATAATATATGCATTAAGTAATATTAATGATGATCATATTAAAGTTAATGACATCGTTTTGTAGTTAATCATGTTAATATAATCATTTTACCCATAGGGAATGTTATATTTTCATGATTAATTAAGATGAAATAGAAATTATTCTTATTTCTTAATTAGCCCACAGGTATTATGAAATATTAATAATTTTTAGTTTCATTATTAAAGGATAATGAATCATAATATGTAATGTCTTTACCCACAAGGAGATTTTATGATATGTCGATTCATTTATGATTTGTTATTTGTTTTACATTGGCAAATTTATAATTGTTGTTGATGGTTTGTGCCTCATAATTTATTTAGTAAGCATATATGTTGATATACTTACAGTTGATCAAACTTTAATGATGGTTGAGGATAAAGTTCTTTATTTAAACGTTTCATGCTTACTTATAGACGGTCTAACATTTTAGAAGTCATCGGATATTCAGACTCAAATTTCGCTGGCTGTGTTGATTCTCGAAAATCAACATCTGGATATGTTTTTATGCTAGCTGGAGGTGCTATATCTTGGAGAAGTACCAAACAATCTTTGGTTGCCACTTCTACTATGGAAGCTGAGTTTGTTTCCTGTTTTGAGACTACTACACAGGGTATTTGGTTGAGAAGTTTCATTTCTGGGCTTGGAGTTGTTGAGTCTATCTCTAAGCCAATAAGGTTGTATTGTGACAATTCAACTACTGTATTCTTTGCTAAGAATAATAAGAGTGGAAGTCGAAGTAAACACATCGACATTAAATACTTAGCAATAAGGGACCACATTAAAGCCAAAGAAGTGCTCATTGAACACATACACACCGAGCAGATGATTGTTGATCCTCTAATAAAAGGCACGCCACTAAAGATGTTCAAGGATCATGTAGTTCAAATGGGATTACGTCTTGCTTTGTCACTATGAGAGGTAATACTTTCATTGGAACAAACATTTGAGGTTTGTTCATAAAGTAATATTCCACATTTAAGCGTTTATTTAGAAAGAGAAAATTACATAATAATACATAGAAGGTAATACTTGTTTAAAATGGGCTTACTGCTATGATTCATGCAATTTTATTTTTCTAATTAAACATAAAGAATATAAAACTACTATGTTGTGGATTGTGTAATAAAAGTTTAGACTAAGTGGGAGAATGTTAGATTTTTAATTAATTAAAATTCATTGCCCTAAAATTACTATTTGGTCCTTCACTTTTATATATATTATTTTATATAAAATTTAAACTCTTGAGCAGTTTTTAGCAGTTATCCCCAGTCTTTGATGGAAGACTTCTGCGTGTTTTAAAAGGAGAACAGTTACAAGTCTCCAATACATGCAATTATTCTGATTTCTCAAAAACCATCGTTCTAAGAATTGCAGTGCATTGGAAGAGTCTGTAACCTTTGAAGAACACGGCAACAACAAATTGTTATAGCTGGAGGTTAGTGATTAAATTATTTCACTTCTGCAAATCTCCATGAATATATGAACATGTATATGAATAATGGTATAAATATATACATGTTGATTTTGAGTGATTTACATTACTGGTTTTAACATTTAAAGCAAGCATCAGAGCTATTTAATGACAAATTTTTATTTATATAACAAAAAGTAAAAATAAAAAAAAGCAACCGAGTTTCAATACTGTAGCTTCAAGCCAATATGGTTATTTGGTTCCTTATGATCAACTTAATTTGAAAGAATTCTAATATATAGTTTAATTGTTTTCTGGTTTCTTTTCACCTGAAATTTGGTTTATATTTCAACTGATTAGATGTTCAAGTAGTAACTATACATAGATAGAGGAGGTGAAACCGTGAAAGAACCCAGGCATTCACATATTTGTGAGGTTTAAGTTAAAATAAACATAAAATATGATTGGCAAAAAAAAGTTTAATGAAGCCGTTTAGCATTTATAAGTATGTGTATGTGAATATTTAAGAGAAATTCAATCAACAACAATATGGACATAATTTTCTGACTTGATAGGCAGATTTTTTCATGACACCAAAATCAGTCAGTTATATCGATAAAAGATCAATTAAATAACTTCAAGGAGTACTTGGGAAAGCTTAAAGCGGTTGTTGGAGAAAAGAGCCCAAAAAATAATATGAAATAGCCTGTTTCTACTGTCGTCAGCGAATAATGACATTGCATTCATCTACTTCACCCCCTCTTCCGAATATGATGTTTCTTCTTACACTTCTCTTGTAGTTTGAGTTAGCTGGACTTCAACTTTAATTTTTAAAGGTAAATTTACATTGACTTGGACTTGGAGTAGGAAAGATAGCTGTTTTGGGTACATTTTACCGTTAAGTTGGCTACCATCAGCAAAAAGTATCGAGGATGTGTACAGAAGGTGTTAACCAAGCAGCGCAGTTGTCCGAGATAAACACACTCAAAATCACCCTTCCCCAAGCTGAGATACTCTCTACATTGACGTCTACAAGCGTTTCCTTGATCTCATCTAGAAAAGTAGTTTAGTTACATATTCTTTTTCTCTGCTTATCCAAGCTTGAAGTAGTGTTATAACTTTTTTGTTTTTGTTATTTTATAATTCCAGACTTTCATGTTCCCGATAGATAGAATTAGAGGATGTTGTTACTCGGAAACAGGGCAACTTTGTAATCCGTCTCAGTTATTCTGCCGGATTTGAAGAACAGTTTCCCCTGATTAGTTTTCACTTTCCCCACTTATTTTCTTTCTGCTTTACATTGTATTTATTCTTTCCATATCCAGATTTATCTTTACGAGATCTAGTTCTTATGTAAGAGCCATTGGTTTAAGCTTTACAAACAGACTCCCGCTCAAGATCACCATTGATCATCATCAATCATGTATCAGTCTTCTCTGAACTTAAATTAATTTCCTTGTGCATATATTTCCGGTAAATTAGCATATATAATTTGGAGCAACGGTAGTCCCCTTTTCTTGCATAAGTTAGAACTAGAAATATACATACTTGAAATGAAATCTCACACAGGCTGAAGCTTACGGGTAAATCTCTAACTTAATCTGAACCTAAAATGCATGACCTAAGGAAAAGGCGATTTATCTTTCACGTAACAAATTATTAAAAGCTTATGTTATTTCTCAAGTCTGGCTATTCGGTGTATAAAATCTTGAGGTAAGACGAAAAATGATATTCATAAACAAATCATTCTCTTCTTGTTTCAGTTGAGGCCTAACTAATTAAAAGACAATGTCTTCCATCATTTTAAAGGCGCTATATTTCTTCTCTTACTCTGCTTCAATATGTTGTCTTTTGGTCATTACCATATTTCAAGTCTATACATCTGAAGCTACAGTAAAGCTCCAGGACAATGTGACAATTTCAGCTATTTTCATGTTTGGGGATTCCATAGTTGATACAGGAAACAACAACAACAAACTGAATGCAGTTGCTAGGAGCAATTTCCCACCCTACGGAAGGGATTTCATGGGAGCAAAGCCAACAGGGAGGTTTAGCAATGGAAAGATTCCGTCCGACCTAATTGGTATCAATCAAATGTATTTCTCTTTATTATAAAAAAGCTAATTAATAGAACATGATAGAGTCTTTAAGAAGACAAATGTTGATTAATTATTAATACAAAATGACTTCCACATTAAAACTGTTCCCTTGATTAGAAGAGATGTGAAAAGGGTGAAAATATGATATTGAACATGCACAGAAAATTTTGAACACAGGGGTTTGCTTAGAAAATCTGAAAGATATTGCTGTAGACTATAGGATCATCGTTTATGAAATTCTTTAATTAATTTCAAATACAAACTCTTTCAGTGGAAACATTGGGAATTAAAGAGGTGTTGCCGGCATATCTTGATCCAGATATACAAACTAAAGACCTCCTCACAGGAGTAAGCTTTGCTTCGGCCGGGGCAGGATATGATCCTGTGACATCTTGGCTAGTGGTACAAATAAATTTAAAATTTTTATCTGAAAACTTGTAAAATTAACTTTTAATTAATTGTAAGTAATTGACATGTTTATTTTATTTCTTATTATGTTTAATTCGATCAGTCAGCTATATCTCTAACAAAGCAATTACAACTGTTCGAAGAATGTATGGAAAGGGTGAAAGAATCTGTTGGAGAAGAAAGAGCAAGAAACATTACAGCCAATAGTGTAAGTATAGTATCAGCAGGTAGTAATGACATTGCCAACACATATTTTCTCCTTCTTTTCCGAATATTAGAGTTCAATATTTCTTCTTATGCTGATCTTTTGGCTACCTCAGCTTCACTCTTTCTTGAGGTAAGCTAAATTCTAATAGACACTACAGTACTCTCTACCATGCCATGAACAGTACTCAAATATCAACAAACTAATTAAACCCACTTTACTTTGGCATATAATCAATTGGAAGGGACTATACAAACAGGGAGCTCGAAAGATCGGCGTCTTGGGGTCACCACCCTTAGGATGTATGCCATCTTCAAGAACTGTTAGAGGAGGACATGACAGAAATTGTGTAACATACTACAATGAAGCAGCACAATTGTTTAACTCTAAGATGAAAGTAGTGCTGGATAACCTTAACAAAAAATATCCCCAATCCAGGATGGTCTTCATTGATGGCTACACCATAATGAATGATATCATCCAAAATCCAAAGAAATATGGTAATCCATTATTTGAACAGGAGTATTTGGTTTAAACAAGACTGAGTTCACTTAACAAATTATTTAATTGTTTATGTCAGGATTTGAAGTTGCTGATAGAGGATGTTGTGGTACGGGTACATTTGAAGTAGCAGCTACCTGTAATCAATGGAGTTTGTTTACATGTACTAATGCCTCCAAGTATGTTTTCTGGGACAGTTACCACCCAACGGAAGAAACCTACAGAATCCTCATGGATTACCTCTTCCCAGATATGCTAAACCAGTTGTTTTCCTAATTTTGTAATAACATTATGTTGTATCACTTCCGTCTGATCCTCTCCAGACTTGGATCAGGATGAAAGCTTGAAATTCTACTCATGTCTATCAGATTTCCTCAAGTGCTTGTGAAAAATATGTAGCTTTCACTGCTTTTACTTCTTCCTGCAATTAACAAGGGAACCTGCATATAAAATATAAAATTTTGACAATGACACCAGTAAAACCATTGAAATTCTGATTTCCATTGAGCCTCAACAATAGTTGAAGGGCTTGATGATTTTTAATAAAGTTGCTTTATATTCCTTTTGGCCCAAAAAGCTGTTAGCAATTATAAGCCCATCAAAAAGGGCAAAATAGTATTTCCATCCAAGAATACATACGTGGCAAAATCATCCCCGTTGATTAAATCATCCATTGTTTATCACTTTGTTCTTGTCCAACCCGGAGACAGACACCTTGATTACTCTCTCTTATCTTTATCTATATATACACTATTTATTTTATTTTAAAGATTACTATTTCAGTTTGAAATCGTGGGGGAGATATCTATTTAGGGTTTCTGATATATTGGATCCATCGGTTGATTGATCAATTCGAAAGAATGTCAACGAGCAAGAAAATTACTCTGAAAAGCTCCGATGGTGAGGCGTTCGAGGTAGATGAAGTGGTGGCTTTGGAATCGCAGACGATAAAGCATATGATAGAGGACGATTGCGCCGACAACGGAATTCCTCTTCCTAATGTAACCAGCAAGATCCTCTCCAAGGTCATCGAGTACTGCAAGAAGCACGTTGAGGCTACCAAGGCCGACGATCGTGCAGCCGGCGTCGACGAAGAACTCAAGGCCTGGGATGCCGAGTTCGTCAAAGTCGATCAGGCTACCCTTTTCGATCTCATCCTCGTTAGACTTCTTTCTCCCTTCCTTTTTATTTAATTGATTCTTTGTAATTGATTATTCGGGTTTGTCGATTGCTTCGACTTTTAATCAAAATCGATTGGATTTAACCTAAATATAAATTCCTCTAATTGTTAAATCAGAACGAAGATTTGCTTGGGAAAGATTTTTAATTAGGTATTTCTGGTGCTTGGGGAACATTTTAATTAGGTATTCCTTTGATTGGGAAATTATTTAATTAGGTATTCCTGTTGTTGGGAAAGTTTTTAATTAGGTATTCTTCTGGTTGGGAAAGATTTTAATTGGTATTCCTCCTTGGTCAATGGTTTCAAAAGAGGATAAGCTATTGGTTGTAATGTCTATCTCTATGCATTTGTTGTTTAAAAGTTGTGTATTTTTCATGTCCTTGTAATGATATGTGTATGTTTCTCCTTGTCATGATATTAAAATTTGAATTGATGAATTCATGCAAAGTTTGCAAATCCGCTGATTCTTGCTGTGTATATACCATATTAACTTTCTCCGTTGAAGAAGTGTATAAACTTCTTGCACTGTGTTATAAAGAAGTTGTTTTCTTCTCATGTTAATTATTGCGTAACTTCTGCTGCATTTTTTTTTTTTTAACCTAGTCTTTTGTATTCCATTGTAATGACCATATTGACTCTGTGTTGGAGATTCATGTATCATATTTTCAGTTGTTCCTACTTCAACGATAGCGCTTTAACGTTGTTTTGATCTTGAATCTCAACATATAAGGATATAAGGTGCTGCATCTTGAATTGTTTTTATCTATTCCCTATACCATTTTAATGTGCACACTTGTTTGTATTTGTGTTTTGCTTTTTAGGCTGCAAACTATCTCAACATCAAGAGCTTGCTGGACCTGACTTGCCAGACAGTTGCAGACATGATTAAGGGAAAAACTCCAGAGGAGATTCGCAAAACATTCAACATTAAGAATGACTTTACTCCAGAAGAGGAGGAGGAGGTTCGCCGGGAGAATCAGTGGGCTTTTGAGTGAAAATTCTGAAGTGAACAATATGTAATTCTGTCTTTTGTTTTTTTTTTTTTCTTTGGACATGTGTTTACTGGAACTTCCTTAGTAAAGTGTTAAACGATTGTTATTTGGCTTCCGTATTGTTCCAACCCCCATTCTGTTTTCCTATTGTGGTGTCCTTTTGAATCCTGTTATTTATGTTAATATAGTATATATATTCCACCAACCTTTTTTCTTTCCCTCTCTTTTACCCGTTCAAGGTTATGTTTAGCTATTACTTTTACATAAATGACGTGTATGTAGCATTTCTTTTGCCCTCTGTATTAGAGGCTGATGATTATGACGCTAGGTGTGCAGACATTGTTAATGTGGTATGTATCGACAGGTACAATTGGAATATTGGGTTTCTGGAATTATATTGAAGATTTATTCACAACTTATATTTGCTTTTAAATCTTCCCTTGAAACTTATGAGATACATTGTTTTTTTTTAATGAGTGACAACGGTCCTGCTGTTCTCACTGCTAACTGCAAATGGGCTCCGAACTTTGTATTTTCCATTAGACCATGTGATTGATCCAAATAAATCTTCCTTCAGCGATGATAGGGTAGAAGAGAAAGTCACTTGGTAACTCAACTGTTGTCCGCTCTTCGTAAATGGCAGTTTGTCTGGGATCACCTTCACATTTAGTCCTTGAGGTGCATCAACAGTTACAGCATAGATTTTTTCATTAGCTCCTGCAACGTTTGTGAGAGTCCTACTTACAGTTCTTCCCTCTTTCCCTTTGAAACTTGAGATTGCTATTGATGGATGGTTGATAGTTGATATAAGATCAATACTTGACTCTTTGGGACAGGTGAAATCTTCTGGAACAGATTTTGCGATGCTTTTGATTTTTGATACATTATAACCGTAGTAACACAGAAAATTCAAGTAGTCAACCTCAGTGGTCTCGTAAATCAGCCCTGGTTGTAGTGGTGCGGTTGTACCGATTTCTCCTGCACCAATATCATAAGGTGTTGCTATTGATCCTGAATCTGTAGTTATTGGGGCCTTCAAATTGTTTAGTTGAATTGCTGCAAAAACCAACAGAATGTTACAGATGAGTCGAAATTCAAGCTTCATTATATGCATGTGGTTGTTAGACTTAGATCTCTTCACCTGTAGTCATGATAGCTGATTTGATTGCAGAGGGGCTCCATGTCGGATTCTGAGATTTAACGGTTGCAGCAATTCCAGATACGTGCGGGCATGACATTGAAGTTCCTGAGATCATATTGAATTCAGGGGGTTCTTTACCTTTTGGAGCGGCGGTTGTATCATTCCCCATCCAAGCTGCAAGTATGTTAACTCCTGGTGCTGCAATATCAGGCTGCATGAAATGACGATAGCTGGTTAATAAATCTGTGTGGAAGGATTATTCAGTTCCATATAGTAATCCAGACAGAATGAAGCTTTACCTTGATAATGTTCCTGGTCATGAATGAAGGACCTCTAGCTGAGAAGTATGCTATGACAGGCGCCGGCTTATATTCTGTCACTGATACAGTGGGTAAAATTGTTGCCACTGGATCTCTGCAGAAAGTTCAAAATTCACCACAGATAAGCATCTTCGAAGATTAAAAGATCTAGCAACTGATACAAACTAATCGACAATTTATCACCTGGTTGAGTTGATATAGGAAATGATCTGTTCCTTGTCCTTCGAACTGATCACAGTAACGGGCGATACTCCAAAAGTGGTCACCACTACACTTGATTCGTCATCAACCACAATTGCACCAACACCTCCAAGAGTCTGCACCTGGTCCATTTTACCTTCTATAGAATTCATCCCATTATCATTGTCACAAAGAACAATCTTCCCTTTTACCAGAGTTTCATTCAATGTTGTTGCACCACAATTTCTGAATTGCACAAGTTTTATAAGCATGAAAATGTGATATGCTTACAATAGAAATAAATTAAATGTTTCTAAATCCATTCATATACCTAGCTTCAGTTTCGTCTGCGTCCATTTTCTTGGCTGACTTAGCATAAATCAGTGGGTATACAGGAGACTTTTTGAGATCAGAAAAATTTATGCCTCCACCCTGTAAGTAAAATCAAGAAGTTATTATTTTATGATTAAAAAAAATTAACCTCAAATTTTAATTGAACATCAATACCTTAATAACTTTGTTTCCACCCAACACAATATCAGACTCAAAAACTCTGTCAATTGTTGAAGCAGCAACAGTCAAAATCCAGGGTGCAACGTTGACAACTGATGCACTAGTAGGCCCATCATTCCCTGCGGAGCAGACCACGGTGATCCCATGCTGCACCGCATGGAATGCTCCTAATGCGATCGGATCATTGGTAAAATCAAGATAAACTCCTGCCCGGGCACCAATTGATAAGGAAAGAACATCCACACCGTCCGCAATTGCATCATCAAATGCTGCTAGTATATTAGATCCAGTGCATCCATAATCAGGAGAACATACCCTATATACAGCAATCCTTGAGGCAGGTGAGCCACCTTTGGCGGAACCTGCAGCAAGGCCATAGTAAGAAGCATTTACAACTCGTCCAGCTGCAGTTGAAGCCACATGGGTGCCGTGGCCATAAGTGTCTCTTGGTGCTTTTGTGTGGAACGCCGCCCCTGGATCGTCTTCTATTTCGTAAGCTCTTGCTCCAATTATCTTTCTGTTACAAGCCAAATATTGGTGAGTAAAATAAGTCCATAAATGATGATACTGTAACGACATCATATGTAAAGCTAATATTTTGTGTTTTACTTATTGCACTTGAAGGATTTGTCATCGTCTCCGACCGCACAGGTTCCATTCCAACGTGTTGGAATTGGACCCATATCTTTGTCATTGAAACTCTCTGACTCCGGCCAGATTCCTATCGTTCCATGTATAATATTAAATTTGAATCAAGCTTTTTTGGAAAAAAACAATAATAATAATAATAAAGGTAATTAATACTGCAATGTAATTCTTGTATGTAGGTTTACTCACCTGTATCTAGAATGCCAATAACAGTATCTGATCCCTGAGACGGGGACTCGGAGTCAGTTGGGTTGAAGTCGATCAAGAGATCATCTTGGTACTTCAAGAAGTCCCATGAACGA